CCCCCCCCCCGCAGGGGCCTCCTGTGTGTTTATTGAGTCCTTGATACAAAGTAAATCTCCATCATCATTCGCTGTGATCAACATCCATCAACCGGCCACAGTAGGGGAGACAGGGATACATTTTTCTTCAGATAAAGAAACAATCCACACCGCAGAGCCCTCGGTTATTTTATACAAAGTATAAGGCGTGAGTTTGTCCCTAAGCCCCGTTATATAAACTACAGACTTCAGTTATAGACCTACATTCATTCCTCTGGGTTAAAATACAGCCTTAGGAGTCACTTTTGGATGCTATCAACTTTTATCTAATTTTAGACTCTTGTCAAGATCAATTGATTTTAAATTAAATAATTATACCCTCCTTTGGCAGACGGACATCGGTATGGTCAGTCTGTAATTCTTGGGTAATTAAAAGCAGCGATTCCAGTTGTGGTCATCTCTGTATCATGCTGAAGAAATGAACTCTTTTCAAGCAACAGGGGAAGGTATTACCTTAAATGGCATAGTATGTCGCTTTTATATTAATTAGCATTGGTGTTGGGGAGATGCTAATAAATACACATGCCTCCACCCCATATTCAGAAAAAACAATTTAAGTATTGAATTTGGCTATTACACGGCTGTTACTTGGAAATGAGGCTGCTGATGACGGTGACAAGAAGGTGGGGGAAGGCAGAGGTTACTGAAACACACGTAGCTCATACCCTAGCTCCTGGAATTCAAAGTCACGTAACAGATTTTAAAAATTGTTGAATGTTAAAGCTGGAAGAAACCTCACTGATTTATTTTTAAAGTCTCATTTTATGAGATGCAGTCTACGGTTAGCTCAAATAGAGAAATATCTGGAAGCTGAGTTGTAAGCTAGTGAATGTTACATCCAGGGAACAGTGTGCTTCCTACTTAGATTCGAGCTGCAGGAAAGTGGACAGTTTGCTCCTTTATGTTTTCCCGGGTCCCTATCCCTGTCATGGATTAACTTCTCGGTTGATTTCCGTTCGACGTTAACGATGACGGTTGCTGGTCAGTAACGGGAGATACCGCTTTTTGCAGCTGGATGAAGAGGCCCCGGTGTGGGGTGCCCGACCAGACGAGAGGCAGCTCCAAATTCAGCGTCCGCCGGAAGCGATACGCGTTAACCGGCCAGAAGTGGCAGCACAAGCACATCACCTACAGGTACGAGGCCCCGGGATGAAGCCCCCTCTCTGTTTGTCCCAACTGCTTGTTCTGACGCCTTGTCTGACATCTTACCCACGTTGGCTACATGGTAACATACAGCGATACAATGTTCCTGCAAGGAACTTAAAGCAGCGATCGAGGAGAGTACAGTGTCCGTTGGGGGCCTTGTAGTCATTCCTGGACACACTTGGTCTCTTTTGTAAACTGCACCTTCCAGCGTCCCCGAATGAGTGCCTGCGTCCTGAGGGACTGTCAGGTGCCTGTCCGAACACGTGACATTCTCCAACGAGATTCATAATCTAAAAAATACCTGACACAAGTAAATAATTGCCATTTAAACAAAAGGCCTTTGAACCTTTTAATTGACTTTTATATCAGTGTGGTGGTTAATCTATGGCAAGATTGCTGTTAGCTTTGTAAGAAACCTCTGGACTGTCTTCAGATTGGCTGCCCCGGTTGCATTCCCACCGGCAGCGATGAGCGTTCCCGTGGCTCCACGTCCTCCCCAGCACCTGCTGTCGTCAGAGGTCTGGTTGTAACCACTCTAACGGGTGTGCAGTGGTTTCTCATCGTTGTTTCAATTTTCACTTCTCTAGTCACATGTGATCTTCATGGGCTTATTCCATCTGTATGTCTTCTCCGGTGAGATGTCCGTTCAGGTCTTTTGACCAACACGTGAAGTACTCAGTGGTGTCAGTTAGGCCGAGGTGCCTGATGGTGGTCATCAGTTCAGCTACACTCCCATCCGTTTTCTGTCTGCAGGGTCTGTCAGTTACTGACGGAGGGACGTCCGAGTCTCCAACTAAGACAGTGTATTCATCTAATTCTTCTTGCAGTTCCATCCGGTCTTGCCTGTGTACTTGCTCGGTCTGTTGTTAGCCACGTGCCCGTTAAGCTTTGCCATGTCCTCTTGCCCGTTGCTATCCCTGGTAATGTTCCTGGCTCTGAAGTCAGCTTCGTCTGCAATTAATAGTCGTTGGTTTTCTCTGACTGGTGGAGGGTGGTGTATCTTTCGCCATCTCTTTCCTTTTAATCTTATAGCATCTTTATATTTAAGGTGGGTTTTTTGTAGGCAATGTACAGTTGCTGTTAGATGTTTAATCCCCTCTCTCTGTCTTTTCCTTGGTGTGTGTTGACCGTTTGCATTTACAGTGATTGCCGACGTAGTTGAATTGATATCTGCCATGGTCGCAGGTCTCTGCGGCCTCTTGCTGTTGTTCATTTTTGTTTGGANGGTGTGTGTTGACCGTTTGCATTTACAGTGATTGGCGACGTAGTTGAATTGATATCTGCCATGTTCGCAGGTCTCTGCGGCCTCTTGCCATTGTTCATTTTTGTTTGTTTGGGTGTTTTTTCAGGCTTCCCTCTTTCTCTCCCTTCTGTGGTTTTAAATGAACATTTTATACATTTCTGTTTTCATTACATATCAGTGAGGCTCTTTAGAAATTATTTTAGTGTTGCCCTGGCTGTGCGGCCGGGGAGGTCCAAGGACCATTACATGTACCAGGAAGCTGCTCACCGCCCCTTCTTTCCTCGGGAACCCAGTGTCAGGTACACGTGGCTCCTGTTGTCACTGAAACCACCTTCCTTGTGTACTCGCCCGACCTCCCCTCCGCTCCCCTCACCATAATGTTTGTCATTGTCTAATGTTGTTGTTATTTTTTATTGTTTACACAGTGTAAACAAGTTCTAGAACCTGGGTTAGAAAACAGTAGAAACCTTGTTTCTGACATGTCGTCCAGCTTAGAATTTAAGACAATGGATTCATGCATCAGAATGTCTGGGTTGAAAAACTAGCCGTGCCACTGAGTTTTCTTCAGATTCCTCTAAATCTCAATTTCCCTCTCTGTAAATTGGTGTAAATACCCATTTCATTGGGTAACTAGGAGCATTTAGTTACCTTTGAAATGCTTGCCTGGCTCTTAATCATAATGTTTAATGTCATTACTGTTCTTTTAGCAGGATTCCTGCCCGACATTTGTAATTATCTGGACATAGTTACAATCGGGTTAAAAATATAATCTGCATGTAATTTTTCCACTGGAAAATATATCTTAACTCTTTTTCCATGCTGCTAAATGCCTTAAAAAGGCAAAGCTAATTTTAAGTTCTGTATATATTATGACATGCAATGGAGACGCCATAATTTAACTATTGCTCCATTATTATAAATCACTGAGCTCCCAGTTCTCTTTTATTATTGCATCGCAGTAAATAGTCACTTGAATATTATATCCTCCTTCATGTATTAAGATAGTTCCTAAGTGAGAATTTGTGGATTCGTGGCTGTAAGACTGTTGGTGGAATGGGTCTGAAATTTATTTATGATTCTCATGAAGTTACTCACTGCTTTTCACAAAAATGATACAAACTTATACAACAATACAAGATGTGTACGTATATTTATCATGTTCTGTTTAGGAAAAAATATAAAAAGAACTGAGAAAGAAAAATATCTGATTAGTGCTAAATAAATCAAGAAAAATATTTATAATATTTATCTCCTTGTTATTAGCATCAGGACAAATAAACTAATTAAGTAATGTCCAAGTTACTTCTTTAAATTTATATAATTGTTAAATATTTGTATTAAAATTCTGTTCACTCTCATTGCCTATTTTAACTGGAATAATTTAAATATATAATCAGAAAACCTTAAAACATCAGAAACTATGATTAGCTGGCCTGTTCTTTCTTCCCTTTTTAATTTTTTTTTAATCTCCACCCGAGGATATTTTTTCCGTTGCCTTTTAGGGAGAGTAGAAGGGAGAGAGAGAGAAACAGTGATGTGAGAGAGACATCGATTGGTTGCCTCCCGCATGCGCCCCAACCTGGATCAATCGAGCCTGTAACTGAGGTACGTGCCCTTGGCCAGAATCGAACCCGGGACCCTTCAGTCTGCAGGCCGACACTCTAACCACCGAACCAAACCGGCCTGGGCTGACCTTTTATTTGAAAACTGAGGAATATCTGTGTCTGCAGAGTTGGTGATCACAGATGTGCAGACATTGTTTGGAAGTGACCTGTGGGCACACAGTGCTGAGCCCCTAAAATAATTACAACCAGAAAGAAACTGGCTGAGTTTTTAATTTCAGCTCCAAAGTGCTGCACCTGTCTGACCATTGGCCAGAGCGGCCTCTCCGTGGAGGCTCAGGAGGCAGAGGGCCTCAGGGACCAGCGACCCCAGGGCTCCCGGTCCTGCAGGGACGGTCACACACAGCCGGGCAGAGGAAGGCTACGGTGCTGCCCGGCGAAGTCTCGCTGCGGAAACACAGGACTTAACTTATTTCTTTCCTCTGTCATTTTACTCACCGAATGGATCTAACTCTCTAGTAAGTCAGACTGTGTGTAAGAAGTGATGCCAATTGTCGTTTTCTCTAAATTTCAGCATAAAGAACGTGACTCCGAAGGTAGGGGACCCCGAGACCCGCAAAGCAATCCGCCGGGCCTTCGACGTGTGGCAGAACGTGACCCCCCTGACCTTCGAGGAAGTGCCCTACAGCGAGCTGGAAAACGGCAAGCGAGACGTGGACATTACCATCATTTTTGCATCTGGTTTCCACGGGGACAGCTCGCCCTTCGACGGAGAGGGGGGGTTCCTGGCGCACGCCTACTTCCCTGGGCCAGGGATCGGGGGAGACACTCACTTTGACTCGGACGAGCCGTGGACGCTAGGAAATCCGAACCACGACGGTAAGTGAATCGTTCCTTTCTTAGCAGGTACGTCTCTTCTTATCTTTATTCTTGAGATATCTAAGTAACTCACAGGCTTAAAGTGTTGCTTCTAAATTTGTTTTTAAAATTATAAAACAACATATGAGGCTTTTCATAGCCTTTTAGAACAAGAATTCCTAGAGGTCATTCGACAACGGTGGTTTTTCATGTGATCTTCGGATTAAGGACGAGAAGTTCTGGTTCCCTGTAAATGTCACTAACGATTTCATAGTATTTAAGTCACGGGCTGCACTAATATCGTGTTTTTTCTACATTTTATTCCAATGTTTCCACTTGAAACTGGACTCTGATTGACATGGGGGGTGTGGCTTATCTTTTCTGTTATTTTCTTTTCTACAATCACCTTTCGACTCTAAAATTTTGCCCCTTCTTTTCATCTCTTACCCATTTCCTTGGCCTCCTAATCTGATACAACTACAGCAGGTATTATTTTGTACTGTATCTTCCTTCATTTTTATCAAAAACCACTTTCTTGTCAGTCTGTTCAGACACACCTATCCATTTTCTAATCTTACAATTATTCAGATATGCAAAAATAATGTAAAAATAAAAAATGCAGTAACTAAAAGAACAGTTACTTGAAATAAGAAGCATGTGTTTCTTCTTAGACAAAAATCCATCCTTCAACTTTATGTTCAAAAAAATATTCCTAGAATTATAAGATCCTGGGATTACAAGGTTCCAAAGCCACCATCTCCGCAGTTCTTGTAATCAAGACTTAAACTTTTTTCTTTCTCACCACATAGTAGAATGTTGTTGAAAATACAAGCGTGCATTGTTTTAAGGACAGCTAATCAGCTAATAACACCCCTAATTCCTCATTGATGGGCTTAGCCCAGCCACCAAATTAAGCTTTGTTACTTCATTAGAGGGTTTAGTTAGCTGGTAATAGCCAATCGTTTTTAGAACACACAGAATTCAAACACTGGGTAGAATAAATCAGGTTGAGTTCAACTTAAAATAACAACAAATTCCAAAGAGAGAAGATGTAATAACTATTCATGTCTTACCAAAAAAAATTCTAGTATTACACAAATGATGTTTTAAGTTGTTGTCTGTAAGAGTATTGGCCACAATATTAAGTGTGGTTTTGTTGTTGAGAACTGGTTGGTGACTAATGGTGGATGTTGGGAGATTTTGTCATGGGAGAAAAACCTTGTCTTTCCTCCGTTGCTAGTGGGAATGGGGTCCTTGCGATATCCTGAGAAAAGGAAATTGCTGAGATCTTGTGGGAGGATGTGATATCGTAGAAAGCTTTATTTCCACGGAATTACATCCCTGGGTTTCCCTTAGTCCAGTCATAGAAGAAGTGTAGCTGGGGATTCAGTAGAGCTAAAATCAAAGCCAGCGTCCAGTTTCCTTTCCAGGTTGGAGCTGGGTCCAGTTCAGCATCAGGTTAGCGGCAGTCCATTAGTCCATTGTGTGTGGGGGTCCACATGGCCGTGGGCCATTCAGGAGAATGCCAGGAAGCCAAGTGTGAGCCATGAGCCAAGTGTGCCAAGAGGAACCAAGAGAGTGAACTGTGTTCAGGGGATTATATATCCAAATTTCCACTTGTTTTCAGTTCCCACTCCCATTCTAACTAACCATTTCTGTATGTAGGTGTGACTGACAGGCAGGTACCTTCCTTATGTCACCCCAGTTTCACTGGACATTCATCTCCCCTTCATTGGACCCCTTCCCCCAGTGACCTGCAGGGGTTGGGCCAGTGGTTCCCTGGGGAGTGCAAAGTTGCAGCTTCCTGGTGAAGCTGCCCAGATGACATGCCTGTAACGCCTGCCCTTCCCTTTGCTCCTTTCCTATTAATAACTAGCTAATTACAATAGTATCAGTGTCCCTGTAGTGGAATGAAAAACAAAACCTTTGGAGTCAGGTGGCCCTGAATAACTGACCACCAGCTCAGGAGACCTCCCCCACGCTGTGCACTGGTTTTCTCTCCCTATTTCTTGCATTGAAGGGCTGGGACTTTGTAAGTAGAAGCCTTTGTTACCTGCTCTACCTGAGTAGCTAATAGTGAAATGTCTACAATACAGGAACTAGCCCCTCCTGGTTTGATGCATAAATCACTTAAAATAAAATGGGTTTATTTTTATCAAAACCCCACAGGCATTCTAATGAACTAGTTCAGATGTCTTCGATTGTTAAAATTATTTTAGAAATGGAAAGGATGTTTGCCTTCTCAGTGTCTGAGAAAAACAGCACTCCTGTTAGAGTTCTGCTGAGACAGTGAAAATCTCATGTGCCTCCAAGGAAAGACTTTCTTCAGAACTTCTGAACAGAGAAAATTGTGTTTCGTCCCGGGAATGGATCTAAATGTTACAGCTACTTTATGTCTGTAGCTTCAAAGTTGTGTTACTTTGGCTTTGTGGGCTCATACATTTAAAATTATTTTTTAAATCATCTCTCAAGGAGATTGTACCTATCAGAGACCTGTTTCCTCCTAAAATACTGAAATCCTCAAGAAAACTGCCGAAGTCCTTTAGATGTATTTTTTCTCAGTGGTTTTCTTAGGCATCAGCCAATACTTTCGAAAAAGAGTTTTAAGAAAAAATCTATAGGGGTACTTGACATAGAAAGCAAGAATGTTGATCCTGATTTGAGGGGGATTGGTGTTAGGGGTGCATATGTGTCATGTATGACGTAGGAAGTTTTCCAAGGAATATACACAAACCTCAGTTCTTCAACGTCTCCGATTTTGAACAATTTGGTTCTCGACCAAGTTGTTCAGGGAAAAAAATGTCTCGGTCATTGAACAATGTCTCAGTTCTCCATCTGTCTTCAGCATGACAAAAAGCGTCTCTCAGGCCACAAACAAAGGAGAGAATTCGAGTCAGTTTATCCCTAAACCTCACATTGTTAACATCTCAGGAAATTGTGCTGTGGATATTTTTGTGGTTTTTTGCATTTGGGAGCATAGAACGGATTAATTCAATTTACATTCTTTCTAATGGGAAAAAGTGATTTGGTTTTTTAACAAATTGCTTCTCGGACAGCCTTCCAGAAAGAATTAGGTTCCAGAGCCGAGGTTCCACTGCCTGTGTTGAAAAGAATCCTGAAAATGAGGAGAATCTGAAACCCGTGAGCTGAAGGCATCAGTGAAGCCGATGGACTTGGGTTATAGATTCACACATTTGATTGCCTCTTTGCTTACGCTGTGCAAGTGCAATTAATAATTTTTATAAATAGTCTTCTTATTAAAAACCTACACAAAACAATTATTTAAAAGTTAGTGTTTCATTTGGAGGAAAATATTGTTTTACTGGTCAAATGGGAATATATTTTTCTTTTAAGTGAGGTTAAAGGAAATTACTTTGCAACATAAGAGTGTTTCCCATCTGTAGGGGATTAGAGAGAAGTTAACTGACTGTTCAGGATGCAATACCATCAAGATTGACTACTTAATTGAAATTCCAACCTTTAACTGGCAACGGCAGGGCCAGGAGGGTGATGTGCTCAGGGGTATTGATCGTTTATCAAAACAACAGCCTCTGGCTTCACTTGGGGTGCTGGTGAGTGTGGAGAGAATTATGAGTCTGTCCACCCTGGATCCCAACTCTAAGAGTGTCTTTGCATCGCAAGCTCACAAGGCACAGTCCTGACACCACTGATGAACGTTTCCTTTCATCTGGTCCCCGGATGCCCCCGGTGTGCTTACCTGAAACATTGTTTTCTCTCCTAGTCACTGCTCTTAAACACTTAGAAAACAGAGCTGCCAATAATTTAGCAAAAATGCAAATGAAAGAGCCTCTGGATAAGTACCCGGCTCATTTTCCACAGCGTATTGCTCAGCTAATGAAGGCAATTTGAATGCCATCAACCTCAAATGAGATAAACAGTGTCTTAAGCTGCCGGTAACCCTTAATTCATTGTTAGCCACCTCACCATCAGTCTGCTCATAGTCATGGTACCTTCTGAAAACTCATCCTGAAGCCCGTTAAGTAAATTATACAATCGTTACATTAAAATAAATACACACACACCCCTACTAAAAATGCCTTTTTTTTTTTTTTTTTTTAGTTTTTTAGTTTTATTTTTTCGGGAGTGGATAAGTGAAACGTGCACAGTGATTCCCATTAGAAAATGTTACTGTGATATGGTTTCTGAAAAGTACGCATTGCCTGAATGTGAGCTGGGAAGTTTAACTCTGTCATCACCACGTGGTTTCCTTGGTGACCGTATAAAGTTTAAAGGGCACTAACCATGTAAACACAAACTTGTCACAAAGCTTCCCTCTAATTAGACAAGTATCTGTCTCAGTCCTAGGATGTCAAGTGGGTAATTTCTTAGCAAAAATATTACCTATGAACATGACATAGAACTGTGACAGAGAAGTATCTGGAGGCCTCTCTGATTTTACCGTGTCATTGCTCTTCTGTTAGCAAGAAGAATGCATTTCTTTGGCTGTTTTTTGTCAGAAAGGTCCCTGCATAAAGAAGCACTCTGTGGGTGTCTGAACACCAGAGAGAGAGAAATGATGGTCTCATTTCGTCTGAGACATACATCAAAATCCTTAAACCTGTTATGTCAAGGTGATGGTTAGGTTTACCTATCCACTTGACTGGGCTAAGGGAGGCCCGGGCACCTGGTGCATGTCTCTGGTGTGTCTGCCAGGGCGTCTCAGGAAGAGATTCCATTTGAATCAGTTGGACCAAGTCGAGAAGACTGACCCTTGCCAGTGTGGTGGGCGTCAGCCAGCCTGCGGGGGCCAGGTAGAGCCCAAGAGAAAGGACAGGGACGTCACCTCTCCTTTTTTTTTTTTAATTGATTTTTAGAGAGAGGAAGGAAGAGAGAGAGAGACATTGTATTGTTCCACTTATTAATGCGCTCACTGGTTGATTCTTGTATGTGCACAACCTTTTGATGATTAGATGACTCGCCAACTGACTGAGCTCCCTGGCCAGGGTTGAAATTTTACTTTTAATTTTGCCACAACTTCCCCCCTCCCCAGCCTGTTGACA